CTCTGCCCTTAATCCCGGGAGTTGGTCTGGCTTCCTGTTGACCAGACACTGGGAGAGGGATGGTGGAGGTGACTGAAAGAAATGATGCCTTCCTTGGTTAAGGGCTCAAGGCTCAGTCCCAGGCCCTTGAGGCAGAAAGCTCCAGACTGGCCGCCGGAAAGACAGCACAGTCCAGGGCCCCCACTAAAGTCCTGCCCCAGCCACCACGGGTGAATTCATACGTGGCTTTTTCCCTTCTCTGCCAGCGGATCCCATGGGGAACACTGCTCCAGAAGACACTGAGAAAAGCCCCAAGCCAAGGCCAGCGGCCCCTAGGGGAGCCCTGAGCCTCTTCTTCCCAGGACTTACCCCTCTCCACCAACAGCCTCCTCATCTTCCCCTGGCACTTCTGCACCTTCCTGGAACACGTCCCACCAGACCAATAGGAAGAGAGCCATCCACTGGGTGTGCCAGGATGCCCCCACGTGGAGTGCCCCTGCCCACCCCAAACAGTGCCCTCCCTGAAGACCCAGAGCACTCAGGTCATCTTCTACATTCACTCTTATCACCTCTGCCCCTTGGGAAAGCTACTCGCAGGCCTGACCTGCCTGCCCACCCATCAGTTGGGTTGAAACTAAAGATTCAGGCCTGACTTTGGAGACTTTGGGTAGTGTGAATAATCCAATGCCTGCTGCCCCCACAGCCCGGCCTCGTGACACCCCTCTTGTACCTCTGAGCAGAGGATGTGCAGGGGAGAAAGGAGGAGGGGAAACAAACAGGGAAGAAAGGAAAAGGGAAGGTGCCGTGGGAGGGGAAAGGCAAATCGGGAGGAAGGAGAAAGGCAAAGGCGTTCCCTCCTTGGTCACAACCCTGCAGAGACCTCACCCCTCCAGGGCACTCTCCTCCCCTCACCTCTTCAGCTCTGGGGGTCTCCCCTGGGATGCTGAGCCAGCCAAGCCTCGGTCATCACCCAGTGAGGCCCCACTTACTGCTGGATGTGGACCTCATACATCCCCAGGAAGCAGAACGAGCCTCTCATCTCAGCCACTGGATGCTGGGCCAGTGGGACCAAGGAGGGAGCCGTATGGGCCCCACTCCAGGTACCGTGCATGGCAGCCCTCTCTGGTTTGGAGTCTGGTGAATATTTCTGCTTGGCAGAGGACCTGAGGTCTGAGTTGAAGTCAGTGGCTCTGGATTATTTGAGAAATTAGATAGAGATGGGGGCTTCCCAGGTGACACTAGTGGTAAAGAACTAGTGATGCAGGAGACATAAGAGACATATTCAATCCCCAGATGGGGAAAATCCCCTGGAGAAAGAAATGGCAACCCAATCCCATATTCTTGCCTGGGAAATCCCATGGACAGAGGAGCCTGGTGGTCTACGGTTCATAGGCTTGCAAAGAGTCGGAGATGATTGAAACACCTTAGCGCATGTGCACAAAGATAGAGATGACTTAGTATGGTCTTTGTGTTTGGTAGGGGAGGGTATGACATATTAATAGAAAGGATTGGAATGGGCTGAGCTGGACTTTTCATTCTGCATATAAAATGCAATGGTGATAATGGTGATGATAGGGGTAAAAAAGAGAAAAAAATCAGAGCTGAGGGGAAAGGGCCTTTACATGTAAGATGGATCCAATAGGTGAGAAATTTGAATATTATATATATATAATGGAAGGATATCTATATCCTTATATATATATTATATATATATATATATATTAAAGGATATATATATATATCCTTTAATACTTAAAGGATAATAACTTGTGTAGTGGGCCAGCTAGTCTTGATCTCTAAAGGATTAGGCTGTGGAGATGAGACCAGACTACACTTGAGAAGTCACAGTTAGCCACCAGGGGGAACCGTTTTTGAGCGAGGGGTTGAATAAATATCATGAGTGACAGAGGGTAGGAGGAGAAATAAGTGGCCCGAGGCACTAGGGCAGGATGTGAGGAGGCTCTGAGTATGAACAAGGGGGCTCAGGTCTGCCCTGTACCCTGTCAGAGGTGCTGTGAGCTGGGTCTATATGGAGAACTAATTCAAGCATGCCCTCTCTGGGTATCACCACGGCACCCTCGTTGATGGATTGAGTCCTCGACCCTCCTCCTTGCCGGGTACTTGGCAAGGTCTCAAGCTCTGGCTGCTCTCCCCAGCTTCCTGTTGCATTAGGTACCCTCAAGCCAGCACCTTCCAGGACTTGAACTAAGAGCCCTTTGGCTTCCTCATCTCTGAGTTCCAGGGCCCAGGGCAGGCCTGGTCCTACACAGATGTAGGTAAACACTTTGGGGGCTGGGTGAGAGAATTCCTAGCTGGACAAGGGCATCAGAAAGAACCTGAGAGAGAGTATCCAGGACAATCTCCTAGTTTTGCAAGATGTCAGTGAGGAAGCCCAGCCGTGGGACGGCCCTTGCCCGAGACTTCCTGACTCCACTACCCCAGGGTGTCTTGCACACAGCCGAGTGAACACCAGATGGCTGCAAAGGCCAACACACCCAGCCCTGGGCCCTGTGGCCACCCTGGCACACTCACAGAGTATTCCGGCCACAGGCCTGCCCGTCTCCCTTTCCCATTCATCCTGTCCCGAGCCCAGCTTCCAGCCTATTCTCTGCTGACTTTTGGCTCCATTCCCTTTACCCTCCAGCCCAGTCTCGGTCCTCCACTGCATCATTGTTCTGTTTCTCTCTGTCTCTTATCAGCACAGATTTACATGCCGATTATTACCACCTATGCCTTGGTTGAGTCCGAGACTCAGCCCCCAGCCAGTTCCAAGCCTTTAGCCAGAGCCTCGAAGGACCAGCGCAGGAGCCAGACAAGCATTCGTGGAGCCAGTAGGGCCCAGGAACAAGCCCCAGACCGTGGGTGGGTAGCAACCGCGCGCAGCTCCGTGACAGGGAGCATGTAGCAATGGGTCGCTGTTCCATAGCAACCAAACAAAATTACATAGCAATCAGGGAGCTCATGTGACCGAGAGACACAATGACAAGCTATAGGACATGGCCAGGGGGCTGTGGAGTGTCGTTGCATAGCAATAGACCCAAGCCTTGCAGTGATATCTCACAGCCCGGCGTCAGAAGAAGGCATAGTCATGGAACACGGCAGTGGGCAAAGACCACAGTATGTACACTGCGGACGGAGCCCCGGAATGTGGAATGATACCTGACTGCACTAGAACACCTCTGGGTAGCAGTGGCCCTGTCCCAAGGCGTGTGACTCCTGGATGTGCCGTCAGAGAGTGGCCAGCAGCAGTCTCGGAGGCTGGGGGGCAGCAGTGGGCCCCTGTGACCTAGCAGTGAGCACACAACTGACTGTGTCCCTTGGCTCTCAGCTGCTGTATCCAGACCGTGAGCCTCTCAGCACCACCTGATTCCAGGAGTCGTTAATCTGTGTCTGATCTTGAGCACACTCCCCAGAGCCCAGAAACGATTCGGCCACTGATTTCCTCTACAGCCTAATAGGAAATTGAACATTTTCTGGAGAAAGGATCACCTTGGGAACAGAGAAGGGAGTGGAGGAGACTAGGGTCTGTGCCCCCTCTTCCGGGAGGATTTCACCGATGCTCCCTGCTGCCCTGGGCCTGCCTGTCCCAACCCCACAACCCTCTTCCCTTACTGGCAGCCCTTACCCTAGTATGCCTTTGGATCTGCCTTCAGGGTGGTCAATACTTCCTCCCTTCATTCAAGACACCTGATTTTGACACAGGCTTTTCAAGTTCCATTCTGTCCAAGGGGTGCAAAGTTCCAGTCCTGAGTGGACTCACCCGGGTCAGGGCCTTGTGGGTGTGACCTTGGGCCCAGAGTTAGTCCTGAACAGAGCTAAGGAAAGCTTTCACTTCCCTTCTGAGCAGCCCATGGAGCCTTCTTTGGAAGAGGTGGGCTTTTGAGTGAGGGTGAAGAATGAGATATTAAGAGTCATCCCAGGGGACTTCCCTGCTGGTCCAGTGGCTAAGGCTCTGAGTTCCCAATACAGGGGGACTAGGTTCAATCCCTGGTCAGGGAACTAGATCTCACATGCTGCAACTAAGACCCAGCACAGCCCAATAAATAAATAACATTTTTTAAAAGCCATCCCAAACATGCTAACTCTTCAAACTCCAAACAACTTGTAAGCATTCCCTGCTCGCTCCCTAGACACCCTGAGCCCACCTCCTGCTGAGCCAGGCAGTAGATGAGGGGCCCCAGGCAGCCTCCAGACAGAGCAGCTCCATTCACTGGGGCCTGGAAAACCCTTGCCACTGACCAGATTTCTGTTCCCCAGCAGCTCCATCAGCGATTCCTCCAACCAGCCAGGAAAAAAGAAGTCGCCCCAGCACCAGATGCCCAGCCATGTGCCCATCTGTGCGGGGGTCTGGAAGGTGGTAGGGGGTGTGGGGTGGGAAGAGGCCCAGGCACCCAGCTCTGGAAGTTCCCAGCAGGTAGGAGGGGCAGAGTAGGTACACAGTAGCCAGTAAATATTTGCCCTTTTCTCTCTCTCTCCTCCAGCGCCACCCCCCCAGCCATGCCCCCTCTGTTTCCTTCCCTCCCTCCTTTCCTGCACTGCTCAGAGGAGATTTGTGGCAGACCAGAGGGCCCTCATACCAGCAGATGAATAATTGACGAGTGTTGTTTAAAGATTCAGTGGAGTTTTTCCAACCTCACCACACTGGAATAACTCATTTCTTTCATTCTCTGTTTGAAAGTCTAGCCCCCTCCCTTCATCTTTCCCCTTATTGGTCCCCACATGCCTGCCCTGCTCTGAGCATTACACTTTTGTTTCTCTTCCTCTCTTGAGTCTGCTGAACCCCCAATGATCCCTTGATGTCCGCCCACCCCCTGTTTACTTTGTGTCCCCTTCGCCAGCTGTCCCCACCCCCATTTAACCTAGTAGGTTGACTTCAGCTCCTCTGGACGTCATTTCCCCAAGACAAAGGGCCCCATTTCAAGGATGAGGTAAGGAAGGAAGGCGGCAGGCGCTGTGGCTCCTCCCAGGTCACACAGCTGTGGAGGTGGGGGCTCGGGCGACCCGGGCGCAGACCTCCCAGCCCAGGGACAGCTTCCTTCCCAGCCAGGCAGAGAGGGGTTGGCTCTGCTGTGCCTTCCCAAGGTGACTTGGAGCCCTTTGTGTCCCTGGGCCTTGATTTCTCCATCTATAATTGAAGAGAACCACTTACCTGCCTTGCCTGCCTCTCAGGGTCAAATGGAACTGGTGAGGGGCCTTCAGGAAGGGCTGGCATGTGGCAGAGACACCTGTGAGCCTGGGCCTGCAAGTCTGCCTGGCATGGTCTTCATGGCGTCCAACCGTCCCTGTTTTCCCAAGATTGAGGGATCCCAGGACATAGGACTTGCAGTGCTAAACCTGAGCCCCAGGCAAATCAGGATGAGGTCATGGTGTGGGCGCTCCCCTGCCCCTGCCCCAGCCCTGCTCCTTTCACGGTAGTAGCCCCCTCAGCCCCCCTCAGCCCTCCACAGTCATAGGACATATACCCTCCCCCTGTCAGCCCAGCGTCACACTGTGCCCCACACTCACAGCACTCTCACCGCCTCCTTGAAGTGACCTTGAACTTCCTTCCCTCCTCTGGGCCCCAGTCGCTTCTTCTGTCTGCAGAGGAGGTTGGAGCAGATGTTCCCAAGCCCCCTGGGCCACTGGGCTGTGACTGGAACCTTGGTCCTGCCCCCCAGACTCTGGCCTGGGAAGAGGTATGCAGACTGATGAGGTGAGTTTCAGCACCAACCTCGGCTCCCCAAGCACCACGTAGTTAGCAGGTGATGGGTCCTGGGTAGGAGGCAGCTGCCAACAGTGGTCCCCAAGCATGGACGCCACGCACATCAGTGGCAGCCAGGAGCAGGAACATCAGCTCAGGTTGTGAACATCACAAGGCCAAGAGCCTGGGGTCAGCCCCCAAAAAACCAGGAGCCCACCCTGGGAGGCAGATCACCCGGGTCCTGAGAGTCTGAGCCCCACCCAGATCTTTGGTCCACAAGAGGGAGGAAAGATACAAGAGAGACAGATGGAGACAGAGTGAAAACACAGCCCTCTGGTGCCCGCCTCAGCCTCCAGTCAGATGGCCCTGACTCGGTGCCCGCTATGGGCCACCAGCTGTGTTCCAGGAACAGCACTGTCACCCCATCCCTCCTGCTCCAACACCCCAGTCTCCGTAGTCCCCACTCCGCAGCCCAGTGCCCGTGGTCTGATTTTCCAGGTCAGGCTTCTGTCCCTGTCACTCCACAAGCACCCCTGTTCTGGCCACCTGGCTTAAGGCTCATTTAAGGATACGTGTTCATCGCACACAGGCACCAGATCCACTCCCATCCCGAGCCCAGCTCCTGCAGGTAGAAGGTCTTCTCGGGACTCCAGCCCGCCTCAGCTCCTCCCCTGCATTCTTGCAGCCCGAGTGGTAAGCCCTGCATGCTGGCACTCGGGGGCTGTCTAAAAATAAATCTTGTGAGGATGCAGCAGTCACAGCTCCCGGGCTTGGCTGAAAGCCGTCACCAGCTCCACTCGGCTTCTACTCTGTCCTTCTCTTCCTCCTCCAGTCCCTACAGAGCGAGAGAGGAAAAGGTGCTTACCAAGCATTTGAGAGAAACATGGATCTCATCCTACCCGCCTCTGTTATCTCCCTCTGCAGACCCCTCCTCCCCCCCTCCTCTCAGCCATGCAGCTCTAGCCAGTCTGAGCTTGTCTCCACCTCTCAAGAGCTGTGTGACCTTGGATAAATCACTCCACCTCTCTGGGCCTGTCTCCTTGTTGTTAAAGTGCAAGAAATCCACCCCCTCCCCACCCACACACAACCTCTTGAGGCTGTAGGGAGAATTAACCAGAGAGTGGATGACAGTACAGTGCATTAGAAACTGTAAGAGCCTGTCCGTTTTGCAGGAAGCTTATATAGTCACTGTGTTGGTGGGGCTTTTGGAGACAGAGAATGAAAGGGGGGAAGCACGCATCTCGCAGGCCTCCCCACCCTGACCCCTTCTGCAGAAGGGCTGTTCCCAGCCTCCTGACCCACTTCTCCCTCCTTCCCCCCATCCCCGTCATCTCCCCGGTGGGCCATTCTCCTCTTCCATCCATCACCTGGGACTAAAGAGATTAATAAACGAGACTCATAACTCAGCTGCTGGGATGCGGCAGATATTTACAGCTTCGTTTCAATTTGCAGAAAGATTAAGTGTTTGTCGATTTATTGTCTTGCTGTGTGTGTGTGTCTGTGTGTGTCTGTGTGTGTGTGTGTGTGTAGCTGAACGAGGCCCCCTGCAGGCTGGCTCCACCTCCCCCACTCCACATACTCTCTCACTTGTGGGCTCACTCCCTCCCACACCATCCCACACCCCTTCCAGGTCCCTGGAGCTGGTGGGGAGCCTAGGGTCAACCAGCAACCAGTCCAGGGAAAGCCACTGGCCACTGGAGTGGGTTTGTTTTTCTAACCAACTTGACCAGAGTGGCAAGTGGCTTAGCCACAGGAAAGGTCCCCAGGGCCTTTGGAACCAGGGTATTAGACAGGACGGGAGAGGGATACCATCCTTAGATGATTTATAAGGGTCCTTTCTGGGTTCCCCCCAGCCTCATCTCTCCCCAGAAAGCAAGGGGTCCACAGGGCCAGGTAAATGTACTCTGGAGCCCAAGCCCCGCAGTCTAGACCAGTCTTTTGGTATCCGAGACCCCAGAATTCCCTGCGTGAGTGGACCTGAGCCTGCTTCTGAGGGCTGTGCAGGGCTCTTGCCAAAGTCTATCCTCCCAAGATCCAATACTTTTGGGGCTGCACCCATAAGCCAAGGAGAGAGCTGTGCATCGGGGAGTGTGGGCACCTGCTGGTAGCCTCTGTTTGTGCCCTTATCCTGGGCCTCACAGATGTCAGGGGCAGATCTAGAGATGGGGAGGCATGATTCCATGGAGAAGGCCCCCAGCCTAACTGGGGGGAGTCTGCAGAGGCCAAGGGAAGTGGACCAGCCTGGGGAGGTGAGTGAGAAAGCAGTGCTTCCCCCAGGGACTGCAAAGGAGAAACAGCTCTCCCCTGAGTCTGACAGGGGCTTGAGGAGCTAAGACAAGGGCATGTGGGCACAGGGAACAAAAATGTCAAACACTCCTCCACCCCCACATGCCCTGAGACAGCCCCCTTCCCAGCAGTCTCCCACACCATCCCACACCCCTTCCAGGTCCCTGGAGCTGGTGGGGAGCCTAGGGTCAACCAGCAACCAGTCCAGGGAAAGCCACTGGCCACTGGAGTGGGTTTGTTTTTCTAACCAACTTGACCAGAGTGGCAAGTGGCTTAGCCACAGGAAAGGTCCCCAGGGCCTTTGGAACCAGGGTATTAGACAGGACGGGAGAGGGATACCATCCTTAGATGATTTATAAGGGTCCTTTCTGGGTTCCCCCCAGCCTCATCTCTCCCCAGAAAGCAAGGGGTCCACAGGGCCAGGTAAATGTACTCTGGAGCCCAAGCCCCGCAGTCTAGACCAGTCTTTTGGTATCCGAGACCCCAGAATTCCCTGCGTGAGTGGACCTGAGCCTGCTTCTGAGGGCTGTGCAGGGCTCTTGCCAAAGTCTATCCTCCCAAGATCCAATACTTTTGGGGCTGCACCCATAAGCCAAGGAGAGAGCTGTGCATCGGGGAGTGTGGGCACCTGCTGGTAGCCTCTGTTTGTGCCCTTATCCTGGGCCTCACAGATGTCAGGGGCAGATCTAGAGATGGGGAGGCATGATTCCATGGAGAAGGCCCCCAGCCTAACTGGGGGGAGTCTGCAGAGGCCAAGGGAAGTGGACCAGCCTGGGGAGGTGAGTGAGAAAGCAGTGCTTCCCCCAGGGACTGCAAAGGAGAAACAGCTCTCCCCTGAGTCTGACAGGGGCTTGAGGAGCTAAGACAAGGGCATGTGGGCACAGGGAACAAAAATGTCAAACACTCCTCCACCCCCACATGCCCTGAGACAGTCCCCTTCCCAGCAGACTTTGCAGTCAGGCATATGAACTCACTTGTTCATTCATTCACTCACTCATTCATTCAACC